TTCTCTACAACGACTTATATATATATATATAAAATAACAGATATAATAACAATATATATATAAAATAACAGAACACAAACACACACTCTACGTGCTGTTGAACCACAGAAAGTACCCCCTCCCCCCCCTTTTTTAATAAGAGAAAAACCATTATGTACCATAATATTCAGAGTGAAAAGATAAAATGTCACTAAATATTGAGTAAAATGTAAAGTGGTGAAACTAAATCATTTGAGTTGTAGAGAGACACTCATCATGAATGATATGCAGGTGTAGTGATGGAGACCCGGTGTTGTATGATCAGGGGGGAGTACTGTACAAAGCACCAATGTGGACATTTTCATTCCTGTTTCAGACAAATTTTTTCAAGCTAACAAGCTGTTCCACATTATGTAAGCCAGTCTGCACTGCATTTATGTCAGTTTGCATAAGATTTTGTCCGTGTAGCCTAGGGCTGCTACGATTAGTCGACTAGTCATGATTACGTCGACTATCAAAATCGTCGACAACTAATTTAATAGTCGCGCGTCATTTGAAGCTTTGTAAGATCCCAAAAGACGCGGGAATAAGTAGTAGGATTTAAGAGTGTAATAACAGACTGAAACAGAAGATGGCAGCACTGCATGTACAAGGATACCAGCTGCCGTTAAACCCCGAAGAAGAAGAAGTAGTGTCCGGTATCGTAGCCGAGTCCAAATTCAGGAACTGCATCCTACTGTGCCCCCATTTGTAGGCCGATTACGTTACAGTGATACGACGAAGACTGTCCGAATTCGAAGACTCCGACAAATGCGGCCGACAAATGCGCCCTTCATTTCCCCAGATTTGAAGGATGGGTCAGGTGTATACTTCGTGGCCCAACCTATCCCAGAATTCATAGCGCGGCCCTGCTCAGCTTCCAACAATGGCAACAGCTAGTTAGTGTTAATATTACTCTTATTATTTTTTCTGGGTCACAAAATAAACGTTTAACATATTTTCAGGCGAGACTGTAACTGTATCAACCTCAAATATCTGCTCAGTTTATCAAGACACCACATATTTTTAAAAGCGCTCCAACGTTTTCGGAGACGTCTGTTACCCACCAGCTCGATAGCTAGCCAGGGTTCAAGGCTCACTAGAGCCGGTGAGAACACCGGACTCCCAGCAAATCGTTTTCAAATCCACCGCCGTCTTTCGCTACTCAGGTTAAACACGATATACAAGTCACTTAGAGAACTTAAAAATGTTATTGTTTGGCTTTTTTCAGTGTTTTATTTGTTCCTGAGTAAATCGGTTTGGCTGCAATTAAAGTTATAGTTTTTACAAAGCTGAACAAACGTCAAGAAGATAACTGATTATCAGAAGTGTGAGATTCTCGAGAATATACTCCGGTGTCCTGTTATATTTTAGATAGCAAGGAGCAGACGGCTGAGTTTATTAAACTTCACCAAAACAATCTGCAAATTTCATTAAAATGTAATAAACTATCATCTTGTCTTTATTTTTAGTTAGCACATACCTTACACATTTAAAGCTGTAAGCTAATGATAGTTATATGAGAGCAGATGCATGCTGGTACAATAAGCTGTAAGGTTTATGTCCAAAGGATGCATGATCTGATTAGTCAACTAATCGCAAAAATAATCGGTGACTAGTCGACTATCAAAATAATAGTTTGTGGCAGCCCTAGTGTAGCCTGATGAATCTGGGTATGCAACCTCTACAGACATGCTTGTGTGCAGTGCACCAAGAGATCAACAGCACATGTAACACTGGCTGACAGTGATAATACTGGAAACTAATTTGCTGACGAGTTCACTTTAACAGGAAAGGGAGTAACAGAGGAGTTCACCACAAAGAGGAAACAGTGGCAAAAAATAATCAACAATTAAAAAAAGCAGCATGAGAAACACAGACAGTGGATACGTAGACAATTTTCAATACCGTGTTTCATTTCACTGCAAAGAAGTTATTTTTATATTATGACATATCTTTTCTGTATCAGGGTCGAAGTTGAAGGAGAAACTGAACAAATGCAAACAAGTCTAGCTCACAGACTGTTCCGCATAATTGTTATACTGCCCTCTGGTGACAGCACACAGCTATAACATGTACCAACACACAGCTATATACTGGGCTGGAAATCACCAGCTTGTTTGTGTTGAGCAGAGGTTGTGTAGTTAAAATCATCCAGATGCTTGATACCACATTTTTACAATATATTACTGTCATTTTCAACATTATATGATATGTTAAATATTGCAATAACATATACTACAATTTATGTCCTAAAAGTTGAACTTTATCAATATCTGTTTTATCCAATGAGATAAAGTAATCTCACTGCAAAATGAGATTGTCAAGCATCCCCCATCACTGTTATTAAAACCTGCCACAAATGTTACTATAAAATAAGAGTCATTCTGACTGATATCAGTCTGAGGTTCAATAGGTCAAGTTGGCAATTACATGCAATCTGTTTCTGATTGCATGGGTAACAAACACATGTTGTCTATAGGGAAGTTGCACAGTGACCTCTGGTGGAGAAGCTATGCAACGTCATTGATTAGTGTTTCTCTCATCTCCTCTTGAATTTTTATTTTTTTATATTTAGTAGCTTTTAAAAAGCAGATATCAATAGAGAGACAAATAACTAATATCAACTGATATAAAAACTATGGTTAAAATTAATGTCATAGTAAAAAACACACAAACCTTCTGTTGGGTTTGCTGGCTGATCCTTGTTGATAGCTGTCTGGATGTTACTGAAAGATGCAGGAGGTGCACACTGTTGCAGGACGCCGATAGCATTACAAAACTGATCCGCAAGCTGGACACACAAAACAAAACCAGTAATAGGTTACGCTGTCGTTTAAACAAGACAATAGCTGCTGATGAGAACATAAACTTCAGGCAAAAGAAATTTAAAGAGGTTTCTTTTACCAGTTTTATCAAGGTATGTTTGTTTTTTTTTATTATAAAATATAGGTATTTAGTTTACCAGTGTCAACCATAAGGAGGCCAAAATCCAATTTTACCCACTGTGAAAATGTGAAGGCGTGCTTAAGTTTTGGACTTTTAAATGTATTTTCATAAGTTTTACAGCTTCTCCTGAAGATAAAACGTCCCCCAAATAATTAAATGAGAGAAAGTTCATTTTTTAAACCATCTACTATAGAAATCTATGCTTTTTAATATGGGGTCACATTACAAAATATATTATTACAGGACAGTCTACACAACAAGCCAAAAGAACGTTTTCTGTTATTTTTGCACATTTATTTCCTACAATTTAAGCCCAACGAGTCACACTGACAAATTTTTCTTTATTGTGCAGAAAAACTAAGAAGGACTGTTAAAACCAACATCTTTTTCTTATATTACAATGTCTCAGGGATTAAATGTATAGTTAAAGTTCTGACTGAGAGTGACAGAAAGGGGAGTGTCACTGATCGGCCCAAAGTGTGTTGTATGTAGGCCACCTAGTAAAAGGATGTTTGACATCCCTGGTCTAGAACCACCCTTAAATTATTATTATTATTTTGTTTGTTTGTTTGTTTGTTTTGGAAAATGGCAAATAGTTGCGGCGGGAGTTGAAAATAGTTGAAACGGGAGAAAATACGTGGAAATACAGTATGTAAGGCAAAAACAGATTTTGCAGTATTCTAGCAAGCTGGTACAACATGAAGGATCAAAATCTGACCTACTTTTCTCCATTCGTAATTCCTATAAGTTCAACATCTGTTCAAGACCACTGAAAAAAAATAAGCAAATTTGGTCCCTTGCAAGCCAAATATAAAGAAATTACCTTTGCACAGTATTGTAGTAACACTGTTTTCTTTCCAAATATATTTATTTTGTATCATTTTGTTCAATGAAGCTACTCAAAACGACGTTTTAACACTGTAACACTTCATTGTTTAAAATAACTTAGCTGGTTTGGTCGTTTAGTAACACAGGCCTTTAGCTATAATTGCTATAATGGTTAGCTACCCCGTGTTGTTGACACGTTACTAAACTATTAGGGCCACTGGTTTGCGTTAGCTACCAACTCTAAACGACATAACGATGCATTTTATATTTTAACACCTCCTTCTACCAAAGAATGTTTAAAATATTCAACATTTGCCTTACCGAATTGACTGCGTCTTGAAGTTGTGTTAGCCGGTCCGCCATATTGTCTGTTTCTGACGTAACTGTCGCGAGAACATAAAACATCTCGCGGTATATTCGGTATTTTGGGAACCTTGGTTGTCATAGGTTGGGTTACTTACTTTTATCATCTCACAACTGGGTTCACAGCAAACTTGAAACGCGTTAAAATCGATATTTTCATATCAGCAGAGATTATCTTCTATTTTAACGAGGAACGGATCTTTATTAGAGCCTGTTTGTGGGTGCTTTATGAGGACTAATGTTAGCCTTTAGCTAATATTAGCTGCCAAACATCAACAGGAAGTAGCAGCGGGGTTAACGCAATTCCAATGTCTTGTACTGTGGCTTCCCCAGGTATGATCATTTTTGTTTCTTTAATTCATTATCTAAATTGAATGGCAACACTGATTTGTTATACGCACCCGTTTATAATGCGAGCATGTAAGTGGATTTGCATGAAAGCTTAACTCTGATTAGTAAGTTGGCTAATAAGTGAGCCGAGCTTGTGTATGTATGTATGTGTTGTTAAAATATGTTTTACGTTGTCAGCTAACTGAATTTGGAAAACTGAGATACTAATCCCCTTCACGTTTTATATAGCTGAGACGAATATGCTTCCAAAGTAATCATGTAAAGTGAATCTGACACCTAAAACACGTAAGGCTTGCTCCTAATAAGCGAATTAGCTGACACGGCAGCTGTAATGACGGGAAGGTCGAGGAGGAGAAAGCCTAGATTCAATGTTAATGAATGATTTTTAGCTGGTATTTCGAAGTCAGAGCTGACGCTTCAGTTGAGGTTACTTCTTGGTTTACAGATATTTTAAAAATTGTATAATACCAATATCGCGGTGTTGTTGTTTGAACAAATAAAACAGAACTAGATCAAGCATTTCTGATTTAAGTCGTGTTTAAAAAAAATATTAAAGTGATCATCATATAAAAAAAGACTACTTTTATAGAAAAAGACTGAGTGCAGAATTATTAGGTAAATGAGTATTTTGTCCACATCATCCTCTTCATGCATGTTGTCTTACTCCAAGCTGTATAGGCTCGAAAGCCTACTACCAATTAAGCATATTAGGTGATGTGCATCTCGTAAGAGAGTTGTAATGACATCAACACCCTATATCAGGTGTGCATAATTATTAGGCAACGTCCTTTCCTTTGGCAAAATGGGTCAAAAGAAGGACTTGACAGGCTCAGAAAAGTCAAAAATAGTGAGATATCTTGCAGAGGGATGCAGCAGTCTCAAAATTGCAAAGCTTCTGAAGCGTGATCATCGAACAATCAAGCGTTTCATTCAAAATAGTCAACAGGGTCGCAAGAAGCGTGTGGAAAAACCAAGGCGCAAAATAACTGCCCATGAACTGAGAAAAGTCAAGCGTGCAGCTGCCAAGATGCCACTTGCCACCAGTTTGGCCATATTTCAGAGCTGCAACATCACTGGAGTGCCCAAAAGCACAAGGTGTGCAATACTCAGAGACATGGCCAAGGTAAGAAAGGCTGAAAGACGACCACCACTGAACAAGACACACAAGCTGAAACGTCAAGACTGGGCCAAGAAATATCTCAAGACTGGTTTTTCTAAGGTTTTATGGACTGATGAAATGAGAGTGAGTCTTGATGGGCCAGATGGATGGGCCCGTGGCTGGATTGGTAAAGGGCAGAGAGCTCCAGTCCGACTCAGACGCCAGCAAGGTGGAGGTGGAGTACTGGTTTGGGCTGGTATCATCAAAGATGAGCTTGTGGGGCCTTTTCGGGTTGAGGATGGAGTCAAGCTCAACTCCCAGTCCTACTGCCAGTTTCTGGAAGACACCTTCTTCAAGCAGTGGTACAGGAAGAAGTCTGCATCCTTCAAGAAAAACATGATTTTCATGCAGGACAATGCTCCATCACACGCGTCCAAGTACTCCACAGCGTGGCTGGCAAGAAAGGGTATAAAAGAAGAAAAACTAATGACATGGCCCCTTGTTCACCTGATCTGAACCCCATTGAGAACCTGTGGTCCATCATCAAATGTGAGATTTACAAGGAGGGAAAACAGTACACCTCTCTGAACAGTGTCTGGGAGGCTGTGGTTGCTGCTGCACGCAATGTTGATGGTGAACAGATCAAAACACTGACAGAATCCATGGATGGCAGGCTTTTGAGTGTCCTTGCAAAGAAAGGTGGCTATATTGGTCGCTGATTTGTTTTTGAATGTCAGAAATGTATATTTGTGAATGTGGAGATGTTATATTGGTTTCACTGGTAAAAATAAATAATTGAAATGGGTATATATTTGTTTTTTGTTAAGTTGCCTAATAATTATGCACAGTAATAGTCACCTGCACACACAGATATCCCCCTAAAATAGCTAAAACTAAAAACAAACTAAAAACTACTTCCAAAAACATTCAGCTTTGATATTAATGAGTTTTTTGGGTTCATTGAGAACATGGTTGCTGTTCAATAATAAAATTATTCCTCAAAAATACAACTTGCCTAATAATTCTGCACTCCCTGTAGCTTGCAAAAAGCTACTGCATCATGGTATATACATAGGTTTTTATAGGACTGTTCAGAGTTCCCAGAAAACTTTCACTTGACTGCAGCTGCTGTATCTACAGATTATAGACCAAAGTTTTTCCCCATTGTCTAACTAAGATACAAAGTCAGCCTACCTTTAAATAAAGAAGCTATTTTAATAAGATATAATTCAATAGTGTCAGTCATCACTATAATGAATAGCTTGCTAATGGATAATTGCTTTAACCAAATGTAATACTTAAGGGAAGAAAAGAAGGATTGACAAGGTGGATGACTACTATGTTTGCAAGCAACCGTGTCCTAGCTCCTCTTAAGAATCACTTGTATTTCCTCAGGCATGAACTGTACCTTAGAGAAGGTCCTGGCAGATGCCAAATCATTAGTGGAAAGGCTTCGCAACCATGACAACGCTGCTGAGATGTTAATCGAACAGACGACACATCTCAACAAGCGAGTAGAGGCCATGAAACAGGTAGGGTGTCACATGAACTTGGGGAAATGTGAGGCCTAAAGCATTTGATGTAGAATCCGTGAAGTGTCATTTGAAAAGCTGGAATAACATTTTTTTTAAAAAGTATTTCTAATTGTTATGATCTATCATTTTATATTTCAGACTGAAGGTTTTTGTGCTTGTTCTTTTTATTGATAGTACCAGGAAGAGATAGACACCCTGAATGAGGTTGCACGTCATCGGCCTCGTTCCAGTCTAGTCCTGGGAATCCAGCAGGAAAACCGGCAAATTAGGGAGCTCCAGCAGGAAAACAAAGGTAGGCAGTTTCCTTCAATGTCAACTCTCAGTCAGTGCATTTTTAGTTTCGCTTTGATTTGCGGAATATAAAGCTAGAATTTGATCCTTCCTGCAAATCAAACTTGTGTTCATACTTCATGTAGAGCTGCGTACATCATTGGAAGAACACCAGTCTGCCTTAGAGCTCATCATGACCAAATACAGGGAGCAGGTGTTCAGACTTCTCATGGCCAGTAAGAGAGACGACCCCGCCATCGTTACCCAGCTGAAGGAGCAGCATACTACGGTCAGTGTCTGGTGCAAGTACTTTTAATGTATTATTCTGCAATTTTTTACTTTTCTTGTGCATTAAAAAAAAATCATTGCAGGAAATGCAAGCACACATAGACAAGATCAACGAAATGGCCTCCGTGATGAGGAAAGCCATAGAGGTGGATGAGGAGCGAATATGTGAAGATGAGGAGAGGATTAAACAGCTAGAGGTAAAAGCCGAGCAGCATTACTTCAGTTGTTCCAAAGCTTTGAGACCAGGGGAAGGTACAAAAAATCCACAGAAGTTACAAATCCACCCAAAAAAATGTCTGTTCATGTGACACAGAGGATCACAAGTGTCAAAGAAATTGACACTTGACACAAATGCCAATAAAAGTCATCAGTAGAAACTTAAATGATCAAGCCTCTGAGGGGTGGAATCAAAACTGGATCACAAGTCATAGTTAAAAAATGTTCATGTGCTCTGTTATTTATTCATTTATTTATTTAAACAGTATATTTAGTGTGAGTTTGGAGTTTAAAAATGAACTAAAGCTTCATGTTGAGTTGAGATGTCAAAGCAGATCTTAACAGGGCATTTAAATTAAAAATTAGCCTTTTTATTTACATTTCCTCCTAGCTTTGTTTTTTTCCCTTTGACCTACTTTGTTATTTAGACATCCTGCCTCTCTTATTTCAAGGTTTCTTTATTTGTCACATGCATAGTTATACAAGTATAACACACAGTGAAATATAGCCTGACACGCCACATGTTAACCACCAGATGTCAACAGTGAGCTTTTAAACTCTTAAAACCTCATAAACCCATATTTTATTCACAGTAGTGGAAAAAGTAGCATTTTAAGAAAAACAGTAGCTCATTTTGAACTTAATACTAGCAATAAAAAAAGTTGGGATGGGGTCAACAAAAAGCTGGAAAAATGGAGGAACATTTTAGGTTAACTGGCATAAAGATTAATACTCAACATGATTGGGTATAAAAAGGCCTTTTAAAGAGGCAGAGTTTCTCAGAAGTAAAGATGTGCTGAGGTTCATCAATCTGCAAAAAAAAAAAGGCATCTGCAACTTGTGGAACAATTTCAGAATAACATTTGTCAACATATAATTCTGAAGACTTTGAATATCTAATTATCTGCAGCTTAATATCTTCAAAAGATTCTGAGAATCTGGAGAGATCTCTGTGCTCAATAAAATTTGGGTTTATGGGATTTGCAAATCATTCTGTTTTTGTTTGCATTAAACACAGCACTAAGCACAGCAGATCTCTGTGTATTTCAGTTGGAGAACAATGGACTCCGAGAGCTGCTGGGAATCAGTCGGGAAGCTTTTCTGGTTCTGAAGAGAGACGACCAATCAGACAGCACGTCGCTGTCGCCACTGCTCACCAGTGCCGACGTGAGCTTACGAAAAAGTTAGAGCCCAGGGCAGCCCACCAAACCCGCCCACCTACTGCTGCCGCTGTAGGGTACAGAGTCTACAGCCTGTTACCACGTGACCACTTCAGATGATGAGTCTCCTGGTGCATTTAGAACATCGCTGCTCCAGACCTGCATCCCTGTCTGATGATTCGGGCAACAAGCAGCGAGCCAACCCCCTCCCTTTATTCTTTTTCTTGTTTCTTGGTACTGCTGTAACGTTTTGTTCATTTTGGCAGCATGCACGAGCCCGCAGTGCCTGCAACATTTTAAGGTGTAAATGAGTAAATGAAGGGCTTGAGTTCAAATAAATCTATAAGCAAGAAAATTTGTCTGTAGAGTTTGTGTCACCTTCCAAATGTCACACGTTTCTTGTTCTGTTTTGGTTGCTCCTGCAGATACACAACTTCTCACTTTCACTACTCGTGTCAGTAAAAGTGGTTTCTATTCCCACCAATATTGTCACTGGCGGGAATAGAAACCATATCCACAGAGGATCTGCTCCAAAGGGTGAGGTGCATCTGCTGCTGGCTGTGGAATAGAAAATTTCAACACTGTCAAACCACAGTGTAGTTATACTCCACTGAAAGGCTTGTAAACAAGTGCTTCATTGTTTCACTGTTGCACATTTATATCATTAGATTTTTCAGTAATTTTATCCACTACTTGAAAAAAAGAAAAAAATATATACATATATATATATATATTATTGGAAAGCAGTCAGTCTGTGCATTTTAGAGGATGGAAGAGAATATTTGTAGTATTATTGCATACAAAGTGAGATGACTGTAATAAGAACTTTTCATAAATTGGCTATTATTTCAATCCAACTTGTGTTGGGGGAATAGAATTTAGACCAGCTGAAAAGTAGAAGTACACTGCATCATATTTGGACTTGGGTGCAGTCTTTAAGTTATCTTTCCCCATATTTTTTTTACTGCAGACACAAGGCACACCAGAGGGATGTTAGAAAGCATCCACCCATTCTATGGTTTATATTTGAAAACTTAATTTAAATGTAACTGCTGGTAAAGAGCAGCTCGTGTGCTTCTTTGTGCGCACATTAAATAGTGTCTGCCAATTAGTCTCCTGTTGTGATTTGTTACGGTCTGATGGACAGATCTAATCGAACTGAGACACGGCTAATGAGGTAAAGTCATCATTAATTAATTAAAACGAATTTAAATTGTAAATAAATAATTGTTTAAATGTTTGAAATGAAATTAATTTAATACATCATTTATATATTTTGTTAATTAACTGTTTAACGTTTTATTTAATTATTGACACATTTAATTTGATGTATCGAAGTCACTCGAGATCGTGTTGATGGTTGGTGACGCCAGAGGGAGGTGGGGATATCGCGGGACGGAGGACGAGAATCTCGCGGTGGCTTCGTTAGGCAGTCAGAGCGGCAGAGGGAGAAGGTCGGCTCAGGCAGGCTTTCACGTCAGTGAAGCATGTCGCTTTCGAGTTTGCAGGGACTCTTACTACCCAAACACGGGACTCTGCCACATTACCAATGATTTTACGGAGGAGCAGATAGAAAAGGGTTTGTTAAGAATTCAAAATAGAGAGGCGGAAAATGTCTCGGTGGATTTGGTTCCCGCTGCTGCTGCTACTGCTTCTTCAGTTGGTGTATGAAGTTGAAGCGCAGGTAGAAAGTGAGTAGCCTTACCAGAGGATTTTTTTTTCTTTCTAATCTGATGCAAAGTGACTTTCGGTTTTAGAAACCTTTAAATGTAAATGGTATATAATCAAAAAGCTATCATATTCAAACTAGTAGTGTTGTGTTTGGGCTGCAGGACACTAGAGTTGCCCTCTTGTATGGCATTAGCTAGCTAATTAACGCGTTATTCTATGTAACGGACTAAAACTGTCTATTTATCCCACACAATTTAATTCGGTTATGTTTAAAGTTTGAAATAAGGGGATGCTCGCACACAGGATGTTAGTCGTGCCTAACCCTATTGTGAGTTAAGCTCTGCGTTTAAAGCTGTCCTTAACGAGTATGCCGAGATTTACAGGTCCAGGTAGCTTACTTACATATTTTATCTGCAAACAGGAAATGTAAACAGTAATCTGTCTCAGATGTGGTGGAAGAGGCAGCTAGGTCTTACCATAAGAAGAACCTTAGACGAGCCACAAGAAGGAAATCAGAATTTAAATTGCTTCTGCATAAATTGCAGAAGTAAGACTGTCATCCAGGGGGTGCTACTTTGAAAGTAGTGCATCTAAATCAATTTATCCAAATGTAATATATATAT